ATGTCTTTTGGTAAAAAAAAGTATTAATTCTGAAATGAAGTTTCATGGGGGTTAGTTTGTACTAACATGGAATTCTGTACACTACACTGAACTTGCTATCAGATTTATACATGCTCTGTTGAATTATCTGATAGCCAAAGGTAATTAGCAATTCCCCTTAAGTAGTAATTCCTAAAAGACAGCGAGAGAAATTAAAGCCTAAAGCGGATGAGTACTAAAACTCCTATGGGGCAACCTTCTTCAAGGTAAAGAAAGGAGAAAGCACAAGAATAAGATCTGCCCGCCAACCTTTTGGACCTCAGGATGTTGCGATATGACACATCAGTAGGAAGTCACGTACACAGACAACCCAATACACATACAATACATATATAGGGTGACACTATAGGAACAGCTACGTGTAAAACCTGAGTCACTTAGGATTAACCATATATGGTAATGTTTCCTGTTCCTGTACAAAATCCTGAGTCAGCTATAGCATAAGGATTAACCATATATGGCAGTGTTTCCTGTTCCTGTCTAACCTCATGTAACCTAAACCCACCCCCCTGCTTGCTGCACAATAAAAGAGAGGGGCAAAGTTTGCTCTGGGCTCTTTTCCTCTCACCAAAAGAAACCTTTGTGTCTGTCATCTTTGCCATCAAGAGGAGCCCACCCAGACAGTCTGTCTGGGTGCAGGTCGTCAGCTGATTCATCCCGGCACTGGGACCCGCAACTCATCATCAGAGACCACCAAATTCATAATTTAAATCCCACAGACCAGAGACCCTGGGAAAATCCCCCAAAAAGTCTGCAGAAAAATTCCCCATCCCATTTTTCTACCAATTGATCATTCTTTATTTGGGATTGCAGGATACTGTCTCCAGCTCCGTTCTCAGGGAGCAGGGAGAGAGACTTTTGGCTTCATGCAAAGGAAGCAGCAGAAGCAGCAAAAGTCTGTCTTTCTCTCCTCCAAATTCCGCCAGAAATGAGTCTTTGCCAACGCAGCCTCTTGGAGCAGGATGCCTTGCAGAGCCCCAAAGACTCATTTCTTGCAGAGTTTGGGGGAGAGAAAGAAAGACTTTTGCTGCTTTCCTTGCATGCAGTCAAAAGCAGAAGAAACAAGTGGAAAGAAGCAGCCCGGTGGCCAGGCCCGGTGGCCAGGCCCAATGCGTGGGGTGAGTTCCCCCCATCCGCCCTTTCCACCCTCCCCTCACTACCTCGTTTTGTTCGCAATGCAAACGACGCAAGCCTTGTGTTCCTGGATTAATTGCTTTGGTGGTGACATTTCTGAGGACCACCAAAATTTTCTCGGTTGGTGACCACTCCTTTAGAACAGCAATTTTAAGGATGCCTTCTGAAGCAAGCTGCCTTCCTACTTTAGTAAGATTTAGAAGAATCCTAAAAACTCAGGAGTCCAAATTTCTTGATGAGATAATGTATCACACCCCAGTAATAAATACTTCTAGCTTCTGGAGAGTGATGGAAGTTTTCCCCTTCCAACAGTGATATGACCCCGATGTGAGGTGCACCGTGAATTCAGGGTGTATCTTCGGATTAAATAGGCACAGAATTGGATTGCTGGAGGCCCAAAGGAGAAACTCAAGATAGGGTAACTAAAGAAACTGAAGGAGAACAAAGGATGATTTAATAAGGTGTGCACAATTTTTCCCTCCAGGATCCCTTGTAACAAATCCGAATTATTTTAAAAACACCGTAAAATGGGCTATTGGGGGATTACAAGTATGAACCTTTAACAGCCATGTGCGGATTATCCAGGGTGGATTTCTTCATCGAACAACGAACGTTTCAAAACGAATCCTACGTTGCAAAAAATAATTCCCAGTCGAGAACAACAACGGGCGGCCAGCTTGGCAAACAAAGCACGCGACGTTTCCAAATAATACCAAAAACTTTACGATGGAAACGCTGCCGTGCATTTATTTCGAAGAGGACCTAAACAGGGACTATTGTGAGCATCAGCAACAACTTAAAAGGGGGGGGGGGGGGTTGCCATGAAACTGCCAGTTTAAGAAAACCACAAATCTGAGCGATGCTAAAATCACACTTTCTGCCAAGCCCGATTTTAACAGGAATCAGGAACTACATCGCGAACAGCACGATCGCCATAGCGCTCGGGAATCCGACGGCAAACAAGTCTCCCTTCCCTCCCTCACCGGGCGGACCCCTTCCATCCTCTCCCGTAGCCTAGGCGTCCGGGGCAACCTCCTCACAGCAACTGAAAGCGCGCCCTTCTCCCAGAGGCTCCTGCTGCAGACGCCCAGGGAAGAGGAGGGGAGCCGGTGGCGCCATTTCCGGGTGGAGAGGCTGCGTTTGTCTCCTCGTACCCGCTGCTGACCTCTTCGTGTTCCCGGCTTTCTGATACTATTCAGAGCATTGCGGTGGTTGATGAGCTGTATAGTAGGCTGCGAGGAAAATTAATTGTTTTCCTTTCACTAGGATTTATATACTGTATCGAACTGATGATCCCAGTCCTTACCTTGCATCTTGTGAGATTACCTGATTTTGTGCAAACTTTTGTGCAAACTTTTGTGCAAACTCTGACAAAATGAAGCTGTTGTAGGCCACACAGTGAACCTGACTAGCTGTGTCTATATGTGCGATAATATAATTATATCGAAATTCAATAGGTTTACACGCAATAAGCTTATTTTTTTTTAAAAAGTATTGGTTTTAACTAATCTTACAGAACTTTGGATTTGCTGATGTCTTATATTTAGAATGTCAGCCACTCGAAGACCATTGTGAGTAGGCTTCATTAAGAAGAATACAAATATTTTGTTAGGTGAAATATTTGCGAACTGGATGGGAGGCACTCTTCCTGGCAGAATGTGCACTGGACAAAGAAATTTGAAGTTACATATTTCTTTATGTCCTTTACACATCGGTACAAAAATTGAATGTTAAATCAGTTTTATATGGATGTTTCTCTTTTGTAAATTTTATTGTTTATGTGCCCTTCTCATCTTGACCTAAGGGCAGTTTATGCGCAAGCTTATAAGCAGTAATTTCTAAAATAAACTTCGGTGATTAATGCAAATCTATTTCCACGTGAGTTCAGGACACCTCTAAGTATGGAGACTACAATTTGTACAGCTGAGAAGCCGACTCACTGAATGTAGTGAAACTTCTAGATAGAGATAGAATTGTACTATAAATTCTGAGTCTGTACAGCAATTATCCCAATTTAAGAGAATGACAGGGTATTTAAATGTGGACTATTTGACACAATCATATATGTTTATGAAAATAATAGATAACCTGACTTCCAAATGGAGTCTTTCCAAGGTGGCTAGTAAACAGTTTAATTCAAATCAATGTAATTACAATACAATAATTTTTTTTCTGAAAAGAAAATTCTAAAAAGCTTATAGGCTGGGCACTGAAGCAGACAAATACTTGCTTACTTTTTATTTATCTTCCATTACTAGTATATTACCAGGGTTGACATTTCTAGTTCACAAACCTACAAAAATCAGTAAAAACATCATAACTCTCATTATAAACTATAAAATCTAAGATGGCAGGCAAAGTGAATATTAATCCCCAAGACTTGTTGAAAAGTCATATTTTAACAGTTTTCAAGATGATTTAAACTTCCTGATCGATATTTTTTGTTCAAGTTTTATTTATAGTTTTTAGCTTTGGGGGTTTATTTAAAACTAATAACAAAATGAAACAAATTACCAAAACAATATTAACAATCCATTAAATTATAAGAAATTAAATATAGCTAATAGTTTAATGTTTTGTCACTAAGGGTCATTGGTTTACTGACAACCTCTATATATCTTAAACACTTAATGGTATAATAAATCAAGTTTGAAGCCCTAATTATAGACTAAATTTGAGAAGTGATATATTCCCAAAATCTTCATCCTTCATAATATAAAGTTAATTATATTAATTATAATTAATTATATTAATTTTAAACAGTTCTGTCTTAGTCATTTTGAACAAGAACACCTTTCCTGACATTTAAAGGACAAGGTGCACTTTCAAATCTTTTTTGAATGGTGCCTTTTGCTATCAAAGATAGAGAGTGCTGGAGGAATTTTTAAATAATATCACAGTAATTATGATATGATTGCTGCTGGAAGTGTGCTGTTTGCTAATTGGAAAGTTCAGTGGAAGATAAAAACAATTCTTTTCTCCAGATTTCATTCTTGTTGGAGGAATGTGCTATAAATCAAAAAGTAGGTCAAAAACTGCCACAATTCCCTCAACACCACCTGCGCTTAAGAAGGAAAAAATATCCAAAATTTCATTTCCGATTATACCATCAGAATGATATTTTTGATCTAGAATTACTTAATAAATAATAGTGAAAAATATCACAAGTGTGGCTGCATTTATGATACAGTAAATCATGTATTTTGATTTAACAAATTAATATTAACCAAGAATTGATGCTGGTCCATAAATCCTAGCTCTTTGGGATCATAACGAATCATAATCCTGGTTTATTTGCTTTATTTGCTCACATGAATTAGGAAGGAATTAAAATAAATTATGTGCTCTGGGATTTATTAAACAACTGTTCATAGCTTAATTCAGGAGAGACCTATTCTTAGCTTTTTAAAGTTTTCTGCAGGCAAGTTTATGTTAGGGATGTTGTAATGTTCCCTGGAGTGTCTGTCCTAGATGGAAAAAGGGGAAAGAAATGATCTTACCATTTTAATATCTGGCTTACTCCCAGAATTGGGTACCCCCATAAAATTATTCTTTAAAATAATAATATAGCCTATGCCCTAGTTTAAGTGACAGGCAAATGCAACTAATATACTTGCACCTTGTAATACTTTTGTTAATCTTCTATTGATATCTTCATCAACCCCAGCCTTAAAACCCAATGAAAGTTCCAAAAGATTATTGCCAGTTCCAAAAGATTATTGCCACCCCTAGGATGGCTGGATTGATCCCTCTGGAAGAAAAGCAGGATCTTCTCCAGAATGCTGGATTTTGCACACAATTACCCTGCTGTCATCCCATGGAACAGGCTAGTCCTGGGAGCCTGAGCATATCCATGTGGCTGGAACCCACTGTGGCTCATTCTGGGCTTGGTGCACCGCAGAGACTAGCTGCAGACAAGCTTCCTGTAAATTGTCATTCACAATCAATTGATCAAAGAATTGTCCAAACTGAGTTTCCATTTTTTTAGCTGACTCTTCCATTTCCTGCAGATCTTCTTCCTGGAGGGAGATCACAATAAATAATGAACTGGCATAATTGTACCTACTGCTTCATTTCTCCATCTTGTATTTTCTTGCTAGCAGGCATGAAAGAAGACAATTTGAGCCAGTTTGTTTACACATCATGAAAGAACTCCAGTTTGCTGCTGCTTTTTTTTTTTGATAAGCCATGCTCTGCAGCTATTAAAGAAGTCATAATTAATTTATTGTTGAGCACTACCTAGAAAACTGCTAATTCCTGATTTTGACTCCCATAAAAGAGAACGAAAGACTTGAAAAGCATCAATGGAATTGGAATCAAAATACTCTTAAGTGGATGAAGAAAAGGATTACCGTATTTATACTTAATAACAAAGATCTGTTGTTCTTTGACTTTAGAGATGAATTCTCAATTCATTCTCAAAGAGATATAGGCTTCTTCCTCATGGTTGGTTAAAAGACTACTGCAAGCTCATGAGGGAACAGAAAAATCTCATTGATAATACCAATCCTTTTACAGACACAATACTGGTAAATAATGCTGTCATTTATTTATTTGGAATGCATATATAGGAAACAGGTCATGTTAAGGGTAGGGATTGCTGGATCCTATATTTTCCCCCCTCCCATTCTATTGTTACCAGCTAGTAAAAAAAACATTTACCAATCATTCCCCTAAATGGGGGCTGGTGTTTGGGGCAGGAGACAAGCATTGACAAATGCTTTTACTGGCAGGCTGTTAAAATTACTCTGGTTTTGCAGAAATGTCAATATGTTCGAAAAGAGCCTAATTATCAACTGATTGAGTTTCTTTGGGACCTGGATTTTATGCTATTGTGGGGGAGTGCTAAACTTGTGTTGCAAAACAGCCTTGACAACTGATGGGTATGAAGAAAGTTAAGCAGTGAAGCAGTCAGGTAGGAGATAGCTCCATGTAGCTCCCATCCTATAAGCTGTAGTTGGATGCTGCTCAGGCTAGTCCAGATTTCAAGCTGTAGATTGATCCAGAGATGTGGCACGTGCAAGAAATAGTAAAAGTAGACTATTTTGCTGCTTGAAGCTAAATAGCCCTGGTTCTCAGAGACTGGAGGTGAGGTTGTATGGCTGCACCACCTAAAGTAGCCAATAAAGATAGGTTTCATTCATTACAACCATTCAGCAACTATCCGAAGTTAAAACAGCTGAATGAAGGAGACCTTTGACAGATACTCATTGTTCAGCCACTGTAATGTCCCGATTATTATCATGGATCACAATTCAAGTACTTGGCAATTGGCTTGCTATTAAAACAGTCACAGCATCCTTGTTTACATGATTACCATTTGTGACCTTCACTGTTGGCTTCCAACAAGTGAAGTCTATGGGGAAGCTGGCAATGGTCACAATGATGATCAAATGACCGTGAACCTCTATGACTCCAGGATTCACCTAACAGTGGCAACTGGTATTGCTTCAGCTACCACTGTAAATTGGTCCAGTCATATGTCACCCTTTATGACCCCATTACTTAGCAAAGGAATTGCTGGTCTTAAATACCAATGTAAAGAAAGGAGTACCTGAAAGCAGTGGTAATCTCATTTCCTAAGAGTCATCTTACTGGACCAATGGTTGGTGAAGCATGTCAGATTGATACAAAATTGTCACTAAGGGAAAACATGAATGCACTTTGGAATATCAGGAGGACGTAGCAGAGAAAATAGTTACAGGTAATAGTTATGCTGCAGTTAGATTCAAAAGAGAAGGGCTCATAGGCTGATTTTGATATGTTATACAACTAAATCAAGTCAAAATTAGCTCTTAAAATTAGTGCATTATTCTGAATCCACGCTTACTTATTAAAGTAATAATTCAATGTTGCAATTTCCCTTCATAACAGTGAAATGACAGTATTTACTCCCAGAAATATGATGAAGAACTCAAAGTAGTGAGTATAGCTAACCTAAAGTCATGTAAATCTCACTGCTAATTTCCTCCTCTCAAATCTTACCTTAAATTTCATGTTCACATAATAGTCAGTGATTATCCTAGCATTTTTCCGAGTCTGCTTCATGCAGCTCACACTTGGTGGTTTAATAAATATCATGTAGGGTTTCAGGTCATGAGTACGAACAAACTGAATACTCTGCAAGATAAAATAAAAAATAAAAACAATTATACAAATTATTCTGCCCTGTTTTTGCATCAAAAATAAAAAAATGATTAAAAGGTAACATCTGTAATTCAGAAATAGCTTAGTGTATCAACTTAGTAGGGCTAGTTTTAGAATTTATAATAATTCCAGAATATCTGGGATAAAATGGTATCACTAATAATTTTTAGTTCATATTTTGTTGGGAAACTATTCTAATTATGTTAAAAATATTGTATACATTGAAATATTTAAATAAATTATTATTTCTATTCCTGACATATTGACAGTATACATTTACCCAACCATGTAAATAAATGTACTTAGAAAAACTATCAAGCAAACAAACAATTGCCAGAAAAAAAGAACAAAGAAAAAAAACTGTTTTTTAGGATAGACTCAAGATTGATCGCTGAAACCTTCAACGTTAGGGGTTTTCTGTGACTCACGTAAGGCTCTAAATCCATTATGCAGATCTTCCCTTCATCAAGCACCGCATGTACTGCATCAATACTTGTCCCATAGAGGTGTCCCTTGTACTCTCCATACTCCAACATTCTGCAAATGTGGTAAGTAGAGAGGGAGATGAGCATATTTCAAAGCAAGGACTTCTAAAAGAGATTGCACAATGAATATCTTTCTAATAATGCCAGGAGAAACTATGCACCTCAATTCAAGCAGAATACGAAGGGGCAGCAGTCTTGTTTAAGTATTTAGGGAGACAAGAAAAGTCCTGCCATACTCGTACTTGGAATCAGTGCTGTCATTTTTTTTCTACCTCTTATTGCAGCAACGTCTGCATATATGTATGTGGGATAGATGTAAGATAACAGCTCTGTCTACTGCAAACATACACTATTTTTGCTTGCTTTTTAATGCAGATTGGAGGTTTATTTAATGACTGAAAGAGATGCAAATTGCTGTGTTTTCAACAAGGTGAGATAAAGAGTAAACTCCTATCCAATGAACCTTGTAGCAACTTCTTGGGTTTCTATTGTGAAACACTGAATATATATATAAGGGGAGGTGATTTATTTGTTTAGGGAAGAAACAGACAATCCTCAATTTACTTAAATTCTAGCAATAATGAGATTTTCAACTCCAAGCTGGAAGATTATGTTAGCATTGTTTCAATATTTGAGGGGCTCCTACAAAGATGTTGGGGTCAAACTATTTTCCAAAGCACCATAGGGCAAGACAAGAAACAATGGGTGGAAACTAGCCAAGGAGAGAAGCGACCTAGAACCAAGGAGAAATTTCCTAACAGTGAGAGCAATCAACCAGTGGAATAGCTTGCCTTCAGAAGTTGTGGGTGCTCCATCCAAGCTTTCAAAAAGAGACTGGACAACCATTTGTCTAAAATGGCACAGGGTCTTCTGCTCAAGAGGGTTGGATTAGAAGACCTCCGAGGAACCTTCCAACTCTATTATTTGATATTCTATGTTTTCAAATTCCTAGCATGTTCACGGCTCAACTTTGTCTTTCTCATTACATATTTACCACAGTGAATGCTAGTACAACATTAAATAAATAAATAATATTTCATGTATAAAAGGACATTTTTATTTGTAAAATAAGAGAACAGTGGCAGAAATAAATTTTGAATTCTGCTGACTGGCTATCCTGCTATCTGGGCACAGAATTTTGAAATTTGATGAAAGAAAAAAATGTGAATCTAAATACAAATTACCTGTAATTATACACCATATTTTCAAATGTTTCCTTTGGTACATAATGATATTCTCGACCATTCTCTTCATAGCTCTTTTGAGCACGGGTTGTATCTGTTTTTAAAAAGGATACATTATGGTTATTGCAATACTTTTAAATAGTTACTGGAACATACTTTTAGTGTAAAGCTAAGTACTTAACGTTATATTGGGCTGTTTATTTGGTATATGCATAGATAAAAAACATTCCTTTCCAGAGGGTCCTCTCTTTGTAAAATCCAAATCCATGAATCCTGATGTGCATACCTGAGAAAGCTGTCCCCCAGAATCAGAATCTCCAGAAGTTACACTACATACGACCACCAAGGAAAAAAATGATGAAGACTCCTTTTAAGCTAATTTATTTATTAAATTATAACTTTATGACAGATCAGTGTTCACATTTGTCCTGTTTTAAGTGTAAGACAGTGAACATGTTGTTGTGCTTGTAACTGATTCCACCCGAGCAATTCTTAAAAATGTACTGATTGTATTAGCTTCCAATTTTGAAAGTGTAATAAGTAATTACATCATGCTATTGTAGAATTAATAGTACTGGTAGGGAAAATTGCAAGACCATTAGTTTCCTTTTTATTTAGGTAGCAATCATAACTATCTAATCTCGTAATGAGAAAGATTTTGACTTTAGGGTGTATTAAGAAACTTCTTTTACGCAAAAATCTTATTTAAACTGGTTGGGGTACTGAGAACGATGGTATGTGAGAGTGTCCTTAGATTTCCAAATCTGTCTTAAAGTGAGAGATACACCCTTCTCAATCCTCTCTTAATGTGTGAAAAAGTCTGGTAACTATAAATAATGAAAGGCTAATACAAAGACCACAATTAGTGAAATTCCATTTCCTTCCATGTATGCTTTTAGATTTAAAGTATCACATACGTGGCACTGCATTTCGAAACAAGTGAGGATTTATACCAATAAGTTGTCTCCGTAGTTCATTCACTCCAACACCTGAAGGACCTAAGTATGAAAGAAATGATTGAATAAAAATGCACTGAATAAAAATTCTATATCACAATTACATACAATAGAATAATGACATTTTCCATAGAAGAAATTTAGAGAAAGATTACAAATCAAAGTCACTGAATTATGACCCAGTTCTGCAAAGATGTGATACACTTGCATTTTAAAAAAATAACTGTACTATGCTGAGATTATTTTTCCTTGAACTAATGCAAGTTTTCTCTCTTTTATGCATTCTTTTTTTGGCCACAGTAATCACTTTTTAAACAAGGAACAGTTTAATTGTTGCTACTTACCTATTAGTACAATTAATCTGTTTCGATCACCTGGTTGCCTTTGATATCTCACCACCTCTTCATAAGGTACTGCCGCAGCACAGTAGCAACTGTTGAGACAATGTGTGTGACATGCCAGGTGTCTGTAGTTGCATTTCCTACGGCACAGACGCATACTTCTTCGGAACCCAGCTGAAAAATAGAAACAAATACAGATCTTTAGAAACTGATCACTGCACTGAACTATATGGCTAGCCTGCAATGTTTGGGGCATTTCAGATGTTCCCTTTCAGAGTTCATTCCAAATTTTTGGATTTCTAATCCTCCCTAAAACCCCAAAATTCCCTTATTCTGTCCACTTGGTTAACAGCAAAAAACAAACAAACAGATTCTCTGGAGGAGATAAGGAACACAAGTACCATGTTTGCTACTTGGGCGTATTAAGTAGAATAAGTTTATTTTTATTTATTTATTTATTTATTTTGTTAAACTATTAGATAACAGGTATAAGTATAAACATGGTTATAAATACATGAAATGGATACAAATAAGAAATAAAAGAAACAATAGGACGGACAGTAGGCATGTTTTGGTGCGCTTATGCATGCCCCCTACAGACCTCTTAGGAAAGGGGTGAGGTCAATAGTAGACAGTCTAATGTTGAAGATTTTGGGGTTTGGGGAAGAAACCAAAAAATCAGGTAGAGTATTCCAGACATTGACTTCTCTGTTGTTGAAGTCGTATTTCCTGCAATCAAGTTTGGTGTGGTTTATTTTTAGTTTGTATCTATTTTGTGCTCTTGTATTGTTTTGGTTGAAGCTGAAGTATTCATTGATAGGTAGGACATTGCAATGTATAATTTTATATACTATACTTAGATCGAACCGAAGGTGGCGTAGTTCTAGGTTGTCTAGGTCTAAAATTTCAAGTCTGGTGACATAAGGTATTCTGCTATAACTACAGGAGTGGAGGATTCTTCTCGTAAAATATTTCTGGGCTTTCTCAATTGTATTAATATCAAATATGTAATGCGGGTTCAAGACTGATGAGCTGTATTCAAGTATTGGTCTAGCAAATGTTTTATATGCTCTAGTTAGTAGAGTGATATTACCGGAAAAAAAGCTACGCAGGGTTAACAACTCTTAATGCCTTTTTGGCTATGTAGTTACAGTGGGCTCTAGCACTTAGATCATTAGATATGAGTACTCCAAGGTCCTTGACAAAGTTTTTGTCATCAACAAGGTCTTGACTATTCAGCTTGTATTTTATTTTTTGATTTTTTTTTGCCAATATGTAAGATAGAGCATTTATTTGTTGAGATTTGAAGTTGCCATTTGTTTGACCATTCTGACACATAGTCGAGGTCTTTTTGAAGAGTAGCAGCATTGTCAGTGGTGTTGAATAGCTTTACATTGTCAGCAAAAAGCAGTTGCTCTTAATATAATCACAGAGGTCATTAATATAGAGTATGAAGAGAGTTGGTCCTAGAACACTGCCTTGGGGGATACCACTGTTGACAGGTACAAGATTTGATAGGATGCTCCCAATTTTGACCATTTGTTGTCTGTTTGACAGGAATGCTTCTATCCAGTTATGCAGGTATCCAGAGATGCCATAAGACCTTAGTTTTAGGAGTAGTTTGTCGTGTACCACTGAATCAAAGGCTTTATAGAAGTCTATGTAAATTGCGTCTATTGCTTTGCCCTGATCGAGTTGTATAGTTCATATGTTTTGCAGTGCAAGAGTTGCAGGTTACAGGACAGTTTCCTTCTGAAACCAGACTGTTTGTTAGAGAGTAGGTTGTTTGTCTCTAAGTGGAGGATAATGGATTGGTTAATAATTGGTTCCATAACTTTACAGGTGACGCAGCATAAAGAGATTGGTCTGTAATTTTCAACTAGGCTGGGGTCTCCCTTTTTAAAGATGGGAATGACTGTGGCTAGTGACCATAGATTTGGCAAGGAGCTGGTCCTGAAAGATTTTTCAAAGATTATGCTTAGAGGTTCAGCTATGGCAGTGGATAGCTTTTTAAAGATGTAGGCACAAACTCCGTCTGGTCCAATAGATAAAGATGGTTTTAGATTGCATAGTGCTTTTTCAACATTGTCTCCTGTAAAATCGATACGTATTAGATCATTGTAGTTGGCTGTGGTTCGAAATATTGGGCATGATCCATTGCTGTTTACAAATACTGAGCCAAAGAATGTGTTAAAGAGATTGGCTTTAATGGTGTCATCGTTGCAGTCTTTACCATTTGGTTCTTTTAGGGGTGGGATGGACCTTGAGTCTTTTAGTTTGTTGATTACAAAATTGTAGAAAGTGTGGGTGGAATTGGTGCATAGAAGGTTTTCCTCTTGTTTAGTGTGATAATTGGTACATTCAGTCTTTTATCTGGTAGCATAAATTGGCTTTTAAAGTTGACAACGTGACCAGGTTTGTTTTTCCGCCAAAGAGATTTCTTTTTGGATTGGGGCTTCCTTATTGTTATGGGTAATTTGTTTTTTCTGGTTTTGGGAGTTGCTATTGGTACATATAGTTTGATGACTCTTTTGACTTCAAGTAAAAATATGTTGTAGTGGTCTTCAACAGTATTGCATCCAGTGAATAGAATTTGCCAATCAAGAGATGAGAAATCGTTGTCTATAAGATCATAGTTGCCTTTTTTGAAGTTATAATTGGGGATCCTGTCGTTATGGTGATTTTTTTGAGGACATATGTTGAGACTAAAGTCAGTCATGCTCTGGAAAAGGGTTCATTAATTTGTATTCCATAAATTGAATTCAAACTGTTACAGAAGATGAGATCGAGGCAGTTGTCAAGTCTAGTGTTGTTGGTTACTAGTTGTTCCAGTCCTAGTGTGGTAACGGCATTGTACAGGGTTGTATGAATGGGCTCAAGATGTACATTCATTTAGTGTCCAATTTATACGAGGTAAGTTGAGGTCACCAAGAAAAATGAGAGGGTGTGGGCAGGAGGCAGCCCATGTCAGTAGTGAAGTTAGCTTGTTTGCATGAATTATATCATAGTCAGGGGCACGATAGGAAAGTAAGAAGCGGATTGAGATGTTTAAGGACAGTTCACGGATGATGGTCTTGGGAAGAATAAGCTCTTGTATAATTTGGATCTCTTTTAGAGTTAGAGACTTTTTACAGAATATAGCAACTCCACCACCTCTACGGATTTCACGATCTGACTGAAAAACTTGATATTCTCTTGTAGTGGTAATGGAGTCTGGGAAAGATGCATTTAACCATGTCTCACAGACAAATATAATGTCAAATGTAGTTGAGCTTAGAAGGATGAGGAATTCATGCATTTTATTTGCGAGGCTTCTTGCTTTAAGTAGTTTGCATTTAAGATATGAAGTAGTGGGTCTGGAAGAAGTAAGGGGCGTGCATCCCTAATGGATGTTTGGGTGATGGATATTGTGACGTGGGTTGAGGGTCTTGCTTTTGATACAGTCAGCACGGTAATCAATGTATAGATTTGTATTACCTAATTCATGTAATCTTTTGAGCTCAGAACGTAGCTCCTGGGATCGTACACGTTGCTGTAAGGTTAGATCAGGGCAAGAACGAAGGTGGTTGTTCTTTGCGAGTGAATTTATTGAGAAAATGAATTTGCGTTTGCTTGTTTCATTTTTGCAAACAACCCTGCAGAGGCATGGGATCATCAAGCTGTCTTTGTTTTTAAGCTCAGGACCAACACGGGTAATATCAAGTATTTCTTCAGGGGAGATGGTTGATGCTTGATTTTCTCTGATGATGTTTTGAACATTAGAGATGTCAGCATTGTCATTGACCTCTAGACCTCTAGAATAAGATGGCATTTGGTCGCTTCCATTCATGCTCAACGGCTTTTTGATGAGGATGGGGATATCAATATTTGTAGGATTTGGGTTTTTTTTTTGTGGATTGGGTTTTGGTTGCGGTTGCTGAGTAGAGATATGGTCTGTAGATGTTTGATGTTCATTTTTTAGTGCTGTCTCTTTTTTTTCAAAGTTTGCAAATTTACTTTGTATAGTGTCCAGGGATGCTACAATGGTGTTAAGGGATGTTATATGTGTTTCAATGGTATCGACTCTTTCAAACAGGGTAATGTATTTTCTAGTTTGGGTCTGCATGGCAAACAGAAATATGGAAAAGCATTGGCAGATGTTTTTAGGAATAGAGCCATTTGCTTGGGTAATCCTAAGCAATTATGGTGAGCGTAATTGTTACAAAGAGAACATTTGATGTAATCTTCATTCTCCTTTAAAGATTCCTTACAAATAAGGCAAGAGCAAGAGTCTTGTGGTTCTTTAGTAGGGGTTTCTTTCTTTTTAGGTTGAGATTTGACATTGGATTATTTTCCTGGCATGGTGGGTTTGTTGAGATGGTTTGTTGATTAGGTTATTCAATCGAACAAAGTATTATGGTAATCAGTAAAGTAATATCGTGCCGAACAGTCTATTATACTAATCACACTAGTCAATTAATTTAAGTAATCAATAATCACCCTAATAATTAATTACACTAATCAATAAACACACTAGTCAATTAATTGTCCTAATCATTAATTTGCACTAAACATACTAATCATACTACCGGTAATATTCAAAATAGTTAACCAAACTAATCAATAACCACTAGTCTATGATAATCTATAATAATATATTACTCACTAATGATAAATAATTGTAAAAATTAATCATTTAGTAAGATCAGTTAATCAACTAGACAGAGTTATATTGGGAAAAATTAGGGCAGGAAGAGAATAATGGGAGGAAGAGGAGAAGATTTGGTTTGGATGGTCCTGGGGGGTTGGTGGCAGGTTAAGGCAGCAGCTTTTTGGTTCCATGAATGGGTTGCAAAATGTTATATGTTAAATATTTTTATTGTTGGAAAGAAGCCAGATATACTTGTGAGTTGTATTTTGCAATCGATTGGGTTTTTCTGAACTAATAAACCTTTCTGTGGGGGAAGGTTTATGCACGATCATTCAATCATGGAAGTTTCCACTTGCTTTGTTGTGAGTGAATGTTTTTGGATTTTATTGCTTACTTCAACAAGTGTAATGGAATTATACTGCTATGAAAATACAGAATCCCAACATCATAAAAATTACATATCATTAATAAATTGGGTTTTAGTAAGCACAGTTGATCCAGATAAAAAAACTCATGTGCAGAAGCCTAATTTTAGTTCTGTGTTAGCACCAAGTGACTCAGTTTAGGAAATCCTCTATGGGGAAAGGGCAACAAAAGATTACCATTTCAGTCAGGCCCAGGCCATAGTTCAAACAATTGTCTGTAAGTCTGTCTAAACCACTACATTTAGTAAATCTATCCCTCATCCTCAATCATTCATTTGAACATTCTGTCTATTGCCCAATTTTTTTTCGCTGCTAAAGCTGTCCTTTCTTCCTTTTGCTTTGGAACAACAGAAATATACAACACAAGCAAGGGATTTTGTTACATCTGTCCATGGCTATTACCAACCAGTTCACTTCATAAGGAATGACTTATTTTTAGACCATTTGATACTAACTAAAAGACTGAAGTTGTAAAATGAGATACAGAATGTATTTGTCTGATTCTTACGGTTTTTCAGAGTCCCTGGCCTCTATTAAATTTATCTAACTAAGATCTAGCAATTCAGCTAATGTATTTTGCAACAGCTCTAACTTGACAGTTTTCACATGTCCATTGTTTTTATTTTAGAAACCAACCAGTAATAAAATTCTCTTGATTTATCAGTGGCTTCCCTTGAACTCATGTCTTTCTAACTAAGCTGTTAGTCACAAATGTTTTAGTGGATATGTAGGACTTCAAAAGAGTATTACATTTGGCTTTTTTGAAGCCTACATAACAATAACAAAGCAGAAGTAAGTAAAGGAATATAGTAGTAAAGAAGAAAGCACCAATACAATGCATTAGATATAAACTATTTAGTAGCACGGTGTCCCTGAACACAATTCTCCAATTGCAGAACTGGCTACGTACTAATGAACACTGGCTGACCAGATCCAATGAATTCTTCTTCTGAAATGAGAGATAGAGATACAAAATAAAAAAAATAAGAAATAGAGCAATATCCTTAAGACTTTCATATACAAGAAATATAATTTTAATTTGTAATATTACCAGCAAAAGGAAAAGACTAATTTATGAACTCTGTGTTCAAAACAGGCCTTTAAAAAAAGGTGAAAGCAACAGAAGTCCTTCAATTATAAAACTTAAGCATTTGATTTTTAAAATATTGTCAAATTATTCAATGATATCAAATAAAGATAACACCCTCTTTTGATTTTTCTTTAGGTTTGTTATTCATAGTGAACAATAGTTTTCTAAAGTATACATTGCATCAACATATATGAAACACAATATATAGGATCCATTTGCAGTAAGCATGTCTATAGACATCCTCAATCATCAGGTCATGGTTGTCCTAAAGGTGCTTTTCCAAAAGGCAACTGGACTTTATTGGGATTTTTTCCCCAGAAAATATTTAGCTTCTCATCCAAGAATTGAACTGAAGAAGCTTCTTGAATGAGACTGATTTCCAAAGCCATAAACGTGCCAGTTCCATAAGGGTTAACATTGCCTGGTGGTTCACTAATTTTCATCCTGTGTAATTTGTTATTATATAGAGCTTTGTTTATTAATATTTTCCCTATAGGGACTCAAAATCCATAGCTTGGCCTGAATGAAAGCCAGAAATGACCTGGAGGAAAGCAGGCATGTCAAGAAAGTCGATTAATCATATGATTATATCTTTTCTGGGCAGTGGAGAGATTTAATCTATTACATATAGTTCCTGCTTAATGACCATGATTGGAACTGCTACTCTGCTTATGATCTTACTTCAGTTTTCCTTTGTTTTACAGACCTTCAAAGGTAATCAATATTGTATTGATTATCTTTGCAGGTGTGTAAAACAAAAGCTGAAATAAGAGCAGTCCTCACTCTATAATTAATGGACAAAGCAAGAAATCTTTCTGATATATTAAAAGAAGCGCAGCATCTCAGCACATATGAAGAATATTACATTCAGTTTATAAATAAACTAGAATAGAGTTCTTTATAAATGATCAAATAGGGTTTCATTTCCAAACGTGCCTTAATGTCCACACTATAATGTAAGTTATTTGGATATATTCATCTGTCTTTGCTTGGAGGAGCATATTAATTAATCAATGTACACAAGCCCTGAATATTTTTAGCAGGATGTGATAATTAAGGATATCACTTTTTCATGAAGTGATCAGTTGCCTCTAATATAAAGTCTATAAAATAAAAAGTTAAACTACCTTCTTTAAGTTCCTCTGTTATGTTGCGTAAAATGGAACAATAGGAAACATCAAATTAAAAGAGTTCAGTCCACTCATGATATAAAGCAGAAAAGCATGCAAATTATTCAGTATGATCAGACCAGCATAACATTGGCAATTTGTACAAAAAGCACACACAAATCACTAGCAGCAGCAAGAAGCATGATAACATAAAATCTATATAGATAAAACCCTTATTGGGGGAATTGCACAAAATCAGTGTCAGGTTTTGAGTAGCAGAGGAAAAGAGAGCCCAAGAGGGGAAATCTCTAATTATGCAGCAGCCATGTCTACTATACTGTACAGTTTACGTGTTACTTCTAAGAATAGAATATTTTCACACATGCAATCCTTGCCAAGGTCCCCATTTACAGGTTTGAAGGTCTCTGTCACATCAGTCTATTGCAGACATGGCTCTACAATCAATCACTCAAAAAACTTCCCTATTGTCAGGCTACAGAACTTTTTTCCATTCAATTAACAAGAATGAACTTCTGAAAACCAAACATATCAAAAGGAATCCTTTATTAAGATGAGACAATTCATGTAGGAGTTCAAAGCAGCGTCAGAGGTCCCTCAGGCATACAGGGATAGATAAGGGAGTTTAGAACCCTTCCCCTTATCTCGATGTGTATTTAGTGAAACAAAAGCCAATATGTTAATTCCCCTCCCCACCCCTTTTGTAAGGAATGATCTTTTTCACAGTTTCCCAGGGCATACCTAATTTCCCCCCCACTCCCTTTCAGAACGAACTTTTTCAGAGGTTCCCAGGAGTTGTTGAATTTTTATGGTCTTCTCATCTCCTGGCTGTGCCTCTCAGAGGTGATAGGTTCAGGCCATCTGGGTTTCCTCCCTCCATTGAATCATGTGTGGGTTATACAAATTCAATATAAGATTAAATATATTCAGGTTACATCAAGAAAGGATTTCTTTATCAGTCTCCCCCCCCCCCATTTCTTCTTCCACTGAAGAAATGACAGATACATGGATCTGACATCCTGCCCTCCTTAAAAAACAGATAGGTCTACCTGGAAAAAGGTTTTATTAGGCATCGGGTGCATCCCGAATCCAGCAACGCTGCAACTTCTTCCCCCTTCCCTCGGCTGGGAATAAACAGTCTCAGGGGTATGGTGATTGGTTCAATTGGATTGCTTGCCAGTGAGTCTTCCAGATCACTTTCAGACTGGCTCAGGTCCCCTCGGAGCATTTGGGATTCTTCCTCAAAGTTGCGGGGGGGGGGGGAATCAGAATCCCACAGCTACTTGGCCCCTCAGGCCAGTCTCCTTTCCTCGAGGGCTGGAGGTTCCAGGTTTCCCCCCTGATGGGTGGTCTAGCTTTCTGGCAGGGGTTTTCGAATGGCATTCTGCTGCACGGTATCCCTTCTTTCCACACTTAAAGCAATCAGATGTTCTTGGAGACATGGTGGATTGGGTTTGAAGACTTCCCATTTCCCCTGGGGTGGGGATCTTTTCCAAAACTTGCCAGTGTTGTACTGGTTTCGAGTCATGTCTATGTCCGCCTCCTCTGCCATCATGTACCATTCATGCAGGAGGTTTGGGGCTCCATGGGCCAGGCAGGCAGCGTATAGGTCATCATTTAGATCATCTTTGAACCAACAGACTAGGATATCCTCTGTTCAGTCTAGCTGGCCGGCCAGGTCACGAAATTCCTCAGTGTATTCCGCTACCAGGCGACGGCCTTGTTTTACGACTCTAATGCAGTTGCGGGCTTTTCTATCGGTGAGGGGGTCCTCGAAGCGGTGGCGTAAGGCCATCATGAAGCGATCGAGGTTCCTTAATTCTGGGGCATTGACGTTGTGGAGCGTCACCATCCATCTGGCTGCTGCCCCTTCAAGGGCAAGGGTGATGACTCGTACTCGGGACCCCTGGGTTGGGAAATTCCGCCCATATTCTTTCATGTAGGTGAGCACTTGCACCAGGAAAAATCCCAGTTTCTGGGGGTCTCCATCAAATTTTACCCCCAAGGGCGGGATCTTCCTCTGCAGTTGTATGCCTCTGGGTTGGCCAGGGTTAATCCCCTGATCTGGGGTGTTTAAGGGTCGGGTACCTGGTATGGCTGCTGGTTCTTCAGCTTGTCCCTCTGCCCGATCAATCTCCACTGGATCCGGGGTGGCGGCTTGGGTTCTCTCATTTTCTGGTTCCTTCACTCTCCTGCGTTGTCATCCTGGTGCATCCCTCACCTGGAGGTTCTCCAGGGCTTCCTTCATGAGGCAATATTTATGTACCATCTCATTCGGTCATCGGCCGGTGGCTCCTCGCCCCATTCTTCCTGAGTCGATAGGGCCTCCAGCTCCAATTTCCACCTGGATTTACGATTATCCCGGGTAAGGGTTACTCCTCTGGTTCTTCTGTCCCAGCTGTCTCTTTTTCCTACACCTATAGACCACTGGGGCTTGGTGGAGTTTTCGCAGGCAGCCTCCCTGTCTTCGATGGGGTGCACCGAGTCAGTATCTGGCTAGGTAAGTGTTGACGTTTCTCCCCAGCATTCGGCTTCCCCTTGGTCCTTTCTGTACTCAGACATTTTCCTTTCTTGCAGGGTCCCCTCAGTAGAGGGAAGGGTTTTGTTTTTTTCTTTAATTTCGTCTCTGGGCTGACCTCTATTGCAGACGCTGCTTTATGTCAGGCTACAGAATTTTTTCCCATTCAATTAACAAGAATGAACTTCTGAAATCCAAATGTATCAAAAGGAATCCTTTATTGAGATGAAACAATTCATGTAGGAGTTCAAAGCAGCGTCTAAAGTATCTCAGGCATACAGGGATAGATAAGGGAGTTTAGAACCCCTCCCCTTATCTTGATGTATATTTAGTGAAACAAAAGCCAGTATGTTAATTCCCCCCCATCCCTTTTGTAAGGAATTATCTTTTTCACAGTTTCCCAGGGCATACCTAATTCCCCCCCGCCCCCCGCCCCCTTTCAGAATGAACTTTTCCAGAGGTTCCCAGGACACATCTCACTGTGGAATTTTTATGGTCTTCTCATCTCCTGGCTGTGCCTCTCAGAGGTGATAGGTTCAGGCCATCTGGGTTTCCGCCCTCCATTGTATCATGTGTAGATTATACAAATTCGATATAAGGTTAAATATATTCAGGTTAAATCAAGAAAGGATTTCTTTATCAGTCCCCCCCCCCCCCCCGCTTTTCTTCTTCCACCAAAGAAATGACAGATACACGGATCTGACACCTATTTCTTTTTCTAATCAATTTGATGAAGGGTTTCTGAAACTCAAAAGCTTGCAATATTTTCAGTAGAGCCTTCAGCACATAAGTGCCTGCAAAACTAGTGCATGCGTCCGTCTTTGGTTTCCCTATGACTTCAACTTAGCTTCAGCATAAGCCCAAACAGACCTTCTCAACTTACATTCCTTTTGTTCCAGATTTCACTTCATTCTTTGCCCATGGTCTGCTCATTTAAAAAATAATTTCATTACCAAGAGTCAGACTTTTTATCTTAACTTTCCCCACAAGTCCTGTAAAATTGGAACAGGTTAATCATTTCCCAGGCCAGCTAGAGCAATTTTAATCTTCTGGCATTTCAAAGCTGGTATGAAATTTAGATTTTCCTTCGTGCTAGCCCTTTGGAGGTTTTTGTACACAAACTCTGGAAACCCACAAGAATGACTGAAATACATCACTTCAATCTACCTGCATAATGTGAAGGGGGAAAAAACCTTCAAGAGATGCTTCACAACAGAAAGACTTTTTAAAGAATGTCTTAGAAAAGGTAATTATTGCTGATATTTCAAACCATTTTAAGGCTAATTTCTCAGTGTGCAGACAGATATGCTTCTGGTCTGTACTATTTCGGATTTTAACCTACAAAAATACCTTGGTAAGGAAGCATCAACGTGCATTTCATCATCAAGAATAATAAAGTAGATTAGCTGCTCAATTATGCTTATGCAATGTAATCTCATTAGCTGCCAGATGTCTTCTCTATCTCTTGCATAGCACTACAATTTTTATTGTAATTCAAATTTGAATGATTATTTGGGAAAAAGAAGCCAATTTGTTTCACAGGCTGAGAAAATATCTATCATAAACACACACCTATCATATAGACACAAAAATGGATCATTTATTTAATCCCTATGTTACATAATTCTGATATTCTTATCATTAGCAGATGACATTGCAGGAACTTACCAGACTCAAAAGTCTCCTCATCTTTTAAGATCATCCAGGCAGCATAAATAGCAAATGAATTTTATTTTAGTGCTACCTTTGTAAAACATAATCACAACCCAACACACCAGAAACAATTTCCCATCGTGACAACAATAGGAAGGTACAGTGAGATCCTCTTATAATCTTTTGTGAAATCAAATTACACATCCTTGGGGAAAATCCATGATTGGTTTTGGTATTTATTTAAAAACATTTGTGCTATGGAATAAGTTCCAAAGTGGATGATGGGAGAGGCATCTGATACAAGGAGAGACGTAATTCACTTCCTCCACATTTCTTATTTCAGATTTTTATTGCAACATGAAAAATAGGATTGTATTTACAAACGTGGCTTTATTATTAGCTCAAGAGCATACTTTGTGCAACAAAAGTATCACAACATCACAATACTATATTTTAAATGTTTTTATTTATATCTTATTGTAGCCTTTCCATTATAAAATCCTAACGCCAAGCAATAAAATAGTTCAAAATTACAAAAGTAAAAACCATAAATCATGATCAAAAAAACCAGAAGAAAAGCTGCAAGACATGGCCTCATGAATTAGGTCAAAATATGACAAATAGTGAGCTCTCTAAATTCAGCATCAAATGTGTCTAAAAAAGGAATTGCATAACTAGGCTACACAAATACAGATTTCTACACTGATGATTCTCTCTAGCTGAACCAACAGTTGATAGGACTGGACTTGTGGCTCTGATTATAGCTCTCTCAACATACACATACTTTTAACATTTTTTCATTGTTACTAGAAGTCATTTTGTTCAATGTTTCTTACAAATGGGTTACACATATTGGGATTTTGAGCAATTTAAACTGCAGTAATGAAATACATAATTTCCATGCATCCAAACTAGAAGTGATTACCTGTTTCTACACACTTCTCATCAATCTGCATGTCATCTTCTAGTATGTTGTAGACAAGGAAAAGGAAATATATGTCAGCCTCTCATAATTTCCAGAGAACTCATAGCTAGAAACATTAACTTATCTACCCCATGACTTTTAAAATCATATTTTATCTACTGTTTCATAGAGTACCATGATGTACAACATTCTATGATGATTTTCTTTTTATTAAAGCAAAGATTACTTTATACTGTAGTCAGCTGGAATATAAGTGGAAGAACTCTTTCATAGAAAAGATCAACAACAGAATGAAGATTATTGGAATGCCCATTTGAAAACTCCAACACTGAAAGGAGCAAAACATATTAACTACTCTGCCCTCCTTGCATTTTTTGCACTTTCACCAAGATGTTGAAAGAAGAACCAGAACAGTTTACTGATTACGAGTTTGGATGTGATTATAGTAACCTCATAATTAAAGAAGATTGATACCTCCTTGCAGTGCCGCAATGGAGTCTGTGGTGCCGCAATAGAGTCTTCCCTGAGGTGATTATAAAACCTCTTTCAATCTCTACAATTATAAGCCACTCTCAGTTTCACCTTTTCTAAAAAAGGGATTTATCTTGCCCTCTATTCACGATCTCTTTCAGTGGAAGCGTCAGAGCAGATGGGTGGACAGAATGGTGCAGGTGGAAGACAGCAAGAGGGAATCTTGTTATCAAAGAAGACTTGCTTAATGCAATCTTATGGGTGAATAAATAAGCTACTCAGGAAAAAACCATAAGGATGGCTTGGCCTGCTTGGTTGTTTCATTTCACAGACAATATTGTCCAAGAGTGCTTTTTTGTGGGAAAAAGGTAGTCCTGGTTTAACAACCACAATTGGGACCAGCAACTCCACTGTTAAGCAACAGAATTGTTCAGTGAGATATCCTGTGACCATACAATCTCACCTCCACTATGGTTAAGTGATTTATTCACAGTTATATGATGTTTTACATGACTGTACCATGCAATTTTACCATTGGCTTCTTCATTGAATCTGCTTGATGAGGTGTGCAAACGGTGACCTCAAACCACAGGATGCTATGATTAGTCATAGGTGCATGAACCAGTTATAAAGTTAGTTTTTCAGCACTGGCATAACTTTGAATAGTTACTAAACAGAGTAGTCATTAAGCAATGACTACCTGCATATGGAGGACAGATCCATTTGCTCTTGAAAAAGCTAGTGAAGATAATGCATTCATGCATTTTTTGTACTTAGTATTTCTAAAACTGCTTGATGAAGCATTTAATTTCATGGTGGATATGTGTTTGCGAACTGTTATGAAATTATGTCATGTGTCTGTAAACTTATTATTGAAATCAACCTTTTGGGTTTGAATTTGCATTCTGCTCAGTTTCAGAGACGTTAAGACACTATAGAACAGGTAATGTACAGAGAGCAAGGTTACTTATTTTGTGCATATATTAATAAAATAAACATTCAGTAGTTCATACGCAGACACACAGACACATAGATCCCATACATTAAAATGGATTATAGACAGGGAGAAGATGATTAGCATATAGCACACAGGGGTTTAGCAGAAAATAGATTGGGATCAACTGGTAAACCCAGGACACTGCAGGAAGAAAGCTGTGTTAGTGTAGGTTACAAAAAAATCAGAAGAGTGGCAGCATCTTTTCTGACTAACACATTTTATTAAAAGGCATAAGCATCACCTTCTAAGTTAATGTACTCTAAGTCTCTATTCAAAGTCAAAGTGGAATCTGTTAGTCTGAAATCTCTCCATACCGGCTGTCAAAAGTTTTTTAAGAATATAGTTTTAAAAAATATCTGTCATAGAAGTCATGGAAATGATGCAAAAAGAACAATTCTTTTCTTTCTTAATTGTGCTTCATTCTTTTGAAATCATATGGTTGCCACTGTATGTTTACCATTTAGACAGCAAAGAATATATAGAATATTCCTCCAAGTAGTATACAGGTAGCCCTCGACTTATAACAGTTCATTTAGTGACTGTTCAAAGTTACAACAGCACTAAAAACTTATGACATTTTTCACACTTATGACCCTTGCAGCATCCCTGTGGTCAGTTAATCAAAATTCAGATGATTGGCAACCATCATGTTTTTATGATGGTTGCTATGTCCTGGGGTCATGCTTTTGTCCTTTTGTTGACTTGCAAGCTCAGTGAGAAAGCCAGATTCACTTAAGGACTGTCTTGCTAATATGGCAAGAAAGGTCCTAAAATTTGGCAAAACTCACATAACAACTGTCTTGCTTAGCAACAGAAATTTTGGGCTTAATTGTGGACATAAGTTGAAAACTACCTGTACCTAAACAGAGACCATTCAATTATGAGATAAATTCTTTCCCAACGTTCTTATGGGATTCTGAGTAGTATATCTCAGAGAGAGATTAACAATCTTAGATAGGACTAGTTTGGAGACCTTGGCTAATGTGATACACACACACACACACACACACACACACACACACACACACACATTTATGGAATCCAATTAGCATTACTGACCTTCTTCCGCAATATTCACTATCATGGGAAATTCGTTTAAAAAAAAGAATATATACATATAATCAGGGACATGAATGAACAATTCTAAGTAAATGAAACAGAGATTATTCTGATAACCTTTACACCTTTGTACACTAAAGCATAGTAAAGGATTTCCCAACAGTTCTCCCTTGTGTTACTAAATTGTTTTAAGTAATCCTGTTTCTAGATTGACAGGATTGCTAGTAGGTTTGAAATTCAAACTACAAGAATTTTTGTTCCAAAATCTATGCAGTCTAATTTGCATTCTATAGAAATAACTGAGTAAAAACATAATATTAATTAGAGAAATAGTTTCATGCACACCTCATCATCAGGAATGTGTTATACTCACAGATGGTTGATTTGAGGCAAGAAAGGGGATGGAAGGGATGAGTCCACCAGAATTCTCGCTGTTTCCTAGACAGAGGAAGGGAACATTTTCTAAAATTACAGAATTAGAAAAAGATTTCAACAGAATTTGGAATTCCTATGGTCTTATGATGAATTTCATGACTGGAGAGGAATTCAAAACCAAATTTCCATTACATGTATATTCTTAACTAGGGCACAAACCTTAGAAGAGAAATTCTTTCCTGGAGAAAAAAAGACGGTCTCTTCTAAAATTTGACTGGTTATACGTCTCCCTTTTTACATCACCATCACCACCACCACCACCACCACATCCCCATTTTCCATACCTCTTCATAAGATGATTGGAAGGGATGAGTCCAGCACAAACTTTGAGGTTGGAGACTTTCCTTGCCTGCCACCACAGAATGTCCTTTTGGTCTACAATCTGAAGAATCTCTCCTTTTTTAAATGGCAGTCCTGCATCAGCACATGGAATGAGTGGGTCCTGACGAGGGCAGTAATCCCACATTGCACGCACATAGAGCTGGAAGGACATTGAAAATTGATTTTTAATCACAGAAGTTACACTCCAAAGACAAGGAAATGCATTTGTAAAAGTTTAATAATTGCAAACAATAAAAAGTCAGCTTTAAAAAGCCAAGATACAACTGCAGTCAAAACATGGCAATAGGTAATGGCAATTCATAAACAGTAATAAGAGCATAAAATGATATTAAAGAACAGTGGGCTAGGTAAGCAAGAAGCTGCACAGCAAAAAGAAATTATAAATCTGCAGGGGAAAACAATTATTTCTGAGGAGAGTTTTGGCTAGCTAGGCAGTGATAGAAGACTATTTTTTTCTCTTCTTATTCCTGTCTGATATTGTGCTGGTTAGACAGCATAGTTACTTTGGGAATGGGAGCTGTCCCCTTAAGGAAATGCCTCATGGGATATGTAGTTAATGCCTCATGGGAGATGTAGTTCATGTCATGATCTATAATCCTAATTGGTCACTGAATTGACCTCTGGTTGGGCTGGGGGAGTTTTGGTCATTCTTACCTGGACCCAGCATTGTGCTGGAGTCTTCCCTTGCTGTATCGTTAAGGGGTGAAGATAACTATCTTTTCACACTATGAAGATGACAATGCAAAGATTGGACATTAGATGAATCTCAGCATAACTGTGAGTTATACATTGAGGATGCCTGATATAATCCAATAAAGTAACTTTGTATAGAAGCCTTTGTAGTGTTGAACTGCCTGTCTCTATATTCAGCCAGAAAATTAGGGACTTGATAGATATAGCTCAACAATTTAGTGGAGTGGTCCAAATTGATCCTAGCACTAGCACTGATGATGTTACCTAGTTGGGTAATGAAACATCTGCAAGAAAAAAAAAACAGCCAAGCTCAGAGAGCACCAAGGACCCCTCACTTCAACCCTGAGCTACAAATATTTTCCTTTATTAGAATCTTATTGATCCTTACTTGTCAATTATTACTAGCTATTGTGAAATAGGGGCCCTAACATCTTGCTTGTATCATCTTACTGATCACTATGGAAATAAAGTGGATCTTTGATTTGATCCAACTGATATAAGAGAATGATTAAAGTCAAAAAACTCTTTCCTTATGAAGAAACTTAATGCTAACTAAACACTAACTCTGAGGGATTCTTGTATTAGCCTTTTGAAGCAAAGGAAATGTATCCATGCATTGCATCTTACTGTTGTTTGATTGCTGATGATTCGATCAGAACCTGGAATCAGCTTGAACATGATGGTACTTTGTGATAGAGCCTGCAAGAATTCAGAAAAACAGTATCTAAGGCACTTTGCCTACTTTTGTTGCAAACTTAATTTGATCATCAATACATTTATAATTCTATGAGTAGATATCTTTTGACAGGAAGGATAAAATTCACAATGATATTGTTTTTGGTATACAGATAGTTCTTGATATTACCACAATTGAGCCTAAAATTTCTGTTGCTAAATAAAACAGTTGTTAAGTGAGCTTAGATTTTATGATCTTTCTTGCCACATTTGTTGAGAGAATCACTGCAATTGTTAAGTTAGTAACATGGTTGTTAAGTGAATCTGGCTTCTCCATTGACTTTGCTTGTCAGAAGGTCACACAAGGTGATCACCTGTCCCTAGGACACTGCAACAGTCATAAATATGGATCAGTTGCCAAATGTTTTAATTATGATCGTGGGACCATGGGAATGCTGCAGTGGTTGTAAGTGTGGAAAACGTAAATAAGTCACTTGAAAAGTGCCATTGTAACCTAAAGCAGTAATTAAATGAACAGTTGTAAGTCAAGGGCTACCTGTATAGTATATGAATATGCCGGCCCATCTGTAAATTTTAGCTATCAAATTGTGCAAAAGTAAGGAAAAGAATTGTGCAAAAGTAAAAAACAAAGCAGCAGCTGTTAGTCGCAACTGGGGAAGGAATTAGATTGCACAGCCCCTACTTCTGATTGCTTTGGAACTGCCACAAGGGTTTTCTTTTTCCCTAAGTTAACATGCAAGCAACAGACAGAAGCAGAAGATGGGGAAAGTGATCGTGATGGGAACAATATTCACACACACATTGAAACTAAAACAAAGCATTTCCTACAAAAATAGAAATATGAATATTTGCCTCCTGGCTCTTTGGTACAGTTGAAACAAACATCTGCAGGAAGGAAAATAGGACTGACAAACTTGTGGGCACTACATTGCACGTAGTGAGAGGGTCTATGAAAAATGGTAGAAAATGCTCAGCCCCTCTTTATAAGCTTTTTCCTTCAGGCCATTCATATCATAACTTTGGAGGATGACTTTATGTTCCAAGCATGCACTTTTACATTGATCACATGTAAAATATCATTAAGTGGCATTTAAAGAGTAGAAGGCTGATTGTGATTACCAGAATGTGTATGACTTGCTCTGGTTCCAGGCCCTCCACTGGGATTCCATTCACTTCTACAAGTTTGTCTCCAGCATATAACAACCCTACCAAAAAAATGTAATTAATCAGAGAACTGGAGAAGAAAACTAGTCTGGTTTTCTAAAGAACACCTAGAGTTTATTCCCCCTCCCAAATTTAAAGCAATTCATTATAGCCAGTTGTGCATCTGATTATCCTAATCTCATTTCAGCTAAAGTTATCTTAAGGAGGAAGAGCAGATTTTAGCTCAATAGCTTCCCCTCTGCATTTTGGCCTCATAGGTGCAGCTGACAGGAGACCATGTGATATTTTGGGTTTCTCCTGAATGTGATGAGCATAACAAACTGATTGTTACAGTTGGCCTAATCAATGCATCTGCCTGTCTGTGGAACAAGATCTCCAATAGAAGTGCTTCCAAGCCTTTTATACTATCTCCCAACCCCTGCCTCCTAAAAGCAAATATGGGATAAGCAGAAGGAAGTTGATCATAATAAAACAATTTAGAATACCTTCACTAAGATTTACTAAGAAACATGTTCAGAACCATTCAAGAACCTGTACAGAACTTTCCAAAGCATGTATTGAAAATTATTCCCTGCCCTTCCCCAGTGATTTCTTAACTTTTAGATGCATTAAATTCACCTTACCACTTTTATCTGCCAGACCTCCATGGATTACTCTTGCTACTGTAATATCACCTGTCAGCTCATGGCGTTTAATTGTGGCACCCTGAAAAAGAGGAAGAAAAGGAAGAGTTGCTTCCTACTGAACAAATGAATAAAAAGGGAAGAAGGTGCACACTTGGTGAGTAGTGGTTTGCAGGAAGTCTACAACCTGCTAGAGATATTAAAATTATACCTTCCACTTCATGTATCTCCCTGCATTCATGCCCAATAAAGTTAAACTTGACTCTGGGAACTTAGTAGACCATCAATATCAATTTCAGTACATGTAGTTCTTGACTTAAAACTGTAACTGAGCCCAGAATTTTTGTGATAACTTCTTGTACATTATCCTTGTAGATTGTAAGTTGAAGCACCCACATGACTAGATCTGATTTTACACCCTTTTTTGTGACAATTGTTAAGCAATCACCATGGTTATGTAAATGTGATAGCCCTTAAGCAAACTCCGTGTTTGTTGAATGAATCCACAGATTCTATGTGTATTTTTGCCAGAAACCATCCAAAAGGTCAGAAGCTGGGAAAAAAATGTTATAAATTATGGTTGCATAACCATGGAACATTCAAACTGGCCATAAAGGTGAGCCAGTGGCCAAGTGCCTGAAATGCAGTCATGTGGCTACCCAATTGTATGCAGCTGTTGGAACTCTAGAACTGGATCATCAGTAGCTTTTGAAGGGTCTGTTGTAATTTTGAACAGTCAGTAAGAGACAGGTCATTAAGCAAAGCAAAGACATAGCAAATGATATAATCTGACTAATTAGTTTATTATGCAAGTCTGCTTAGGTGTGTTTGGATGTATGGCCTTAGTCTCAGATAACAAAATGCTAGCCCTAATTATCTTTTCCTCAAAAAAAGAATTACACTAAACATCAAACAGGGCAAACTGCTTTTTAAATGTTTTCTTCTTGTGAATTCAATAATGCATCCTGTTTGTGTCCTATAGTTTTTCATATTTTAAAACAAACTTAAATGAGTAAAATAAAAATTCTAAGATGAGAGGAATGCCCTGTGAGCTCTGTGGAGTGGTAAACTTGCCCTACTCTATCTAAGATAGCCAGTTGACCTGAAGGAGTAGGAAGATATGATACAAAGGGAAACACAGATAACAAATTGAATGAATATAATTAAAATTAAAGTGAAATTGAACATTACAAGAGGTTGATTGTTTTTCACCAGACAGACAATCCTCATGGCCTCTTCATTTTCAGGGAGGTTTTCTGTCAGAGGTGGAAGCATAGGTTCAAAATCCTTCTGGGCCACAGTATCATGAGCTAATAACAATGCCTATAAGAAAGATTAAACACAGATACGGGGTAAATAAATGCTAGGTCATTTTTAATGAGGATGCTTGGGTGTAAGTTACAAGATAAATTCAGCCTAACAATTAGTTTTGATTTTTATTTCTGTGTGTATGTCCATTTAACCCTCAAAAAATTAGATTTTTTTTTTTGGTCTAGCATACAATCATCACAAACTATTAGACCACTTGAATTGGAATATGAAGCCAGATCTCCCAGCTTTATTGTATTATTTCCTTTTTCAAATGTCAATATGATGGATTTGTGTTAGAAAAAAATATCCCTTGTACTAAAAGATTTTGGTAGCCTCAAAAGAGACCCTCACATTTTATAACAGGGAATGATAGATCTTCATAGCCACTTCTAAATCAACTTCTGCAACATACACAGCTTGAAAAAACTTTTTTTTAAATACTAGAAAGCATAGAACTGTATAATTTTAAAGGGCAGATGGAAAAAATATGGATTCTCCTTTCTGAAATCTTCTTACATAGAAAAATGTAGATTGGCAAGAAGAAGGAAAGCTGAACTTTTTTCTTTCAAAAGCTTTGTGGATGATCTTTGTATCTTTGAATATGCAGGATACACTTAAATGCAGGTGAAGGATAATATATACTATTTAAAATTCTGGATGTTTTCCCTACTTGTACCTGAAATTATTCTAATCTATGATTTAACTTTATTTTTAGTTGAAAAGGGAGACAGAATTTGTAAGTTAAAATAAAGACACACAAGTGTTGGGGGAGAACAGAGATTTTTTTGTCAAAACCAGACGAAGCTGCTGAGCAATAACCTAGCACTGATATGCTATTCTAAAGCAATAGTACAAGAGTTCTGGCAGCTACTGTAACTTCCAGATACAAAACCTACAGCTACACAAATTAGGGACATAAGATTTTGCTTCTCTTTCTTGCATGCTTTCTATATAAAAGAGAGAAAACTTGTTTCTTTTCTGAGGGAAGGGCAGATTTCACCTGTTGATTGTTTTGAAAAATGGCTTTTGGATTTTATCAGTCTCTCGATGTATGGCTCTGCTTCTTTTGGTTGATGGATGGGGCTAGTGTTTCCATAGAAGACTAGAGCAGAGTGTGTTGCAATTCAGCTCCTCAGGACCATGGGAAAAGTCAGTAATAATCCAGGGTTCCTTTTGCAAAGGAAGGACAAATATGCCTTCCTGCAACTGTTTCTTCCCTGACCAATAAAACTAGCCAGTTTGGATTCTACTTTGCTAAAATGTTTTTCAGGAATGGAGAGAAACATGGTGCCCAGCATCCCTAATGTATCTCAAAGTGATAAAATTATTGGTCTGTGCTAATACTTAAGAGTTCAACAATGCATCTTAATAATAAAGGATCTTCTATTGGAGATCTTTCTCTTCCTTGCTGAAGAATTTCAGGGGCCAATACACACCTTGAAGTGAGGACCTTGTAGAAGTTGTCTTAGTTCTTTAATTTCTGGAGATTGTTGACCTCTATGCAGCAACTCCACTACCTATGAACAAGAGAAGCACACTTCATTTTGATAATATATAACTTAACCTATTGTTTAAATAGCACATTGATGTTTATAAAATACAATTATGTAAAACATAAAGGACAATTTGGTGCAGTGGTTAAGGCATCAGGTAGAAACCAGAAGACCATGAGTTCTAGTTCCGCCTTAGGCACAAAACCAGCTGGGAGACCTCAGGTTAGTAAACTTTTTTTAGTCCTAAAAAGTAGGAAAGGGAAATCCGTTTCTAAAAAAGAATTTTGCCAAGAAAACTTCAAGGAGTAGTCCAAAGCAATTTTATTTCAGTGGAACTTGTAATATTGAAAGCAAAAACTAGGGAAATTGCATTTAACCTCAACTCCAGCAATCTTACCTCATGCATCAATTCTTGTGCCTGGGATATGAATGAAACTGGCCTTCTCTTTATATACTGATGAAGGCATTCATATACCTAGAAACAGATGAAGTTAAAGATGTTGCTGCCACTATGCAATGTCACAATATTGCAAACTTGGTACATAATGCAAAAGCCTGGCTCTCTCTTCATACAAAGCAATGTGAGTGGTCCAGGAATCAAGCCCAATTTTCTTCAGTACAAATTCTACAAGATTTATATGTGTAAGGATATATGAGATTGACCTTTTGGAGAAAGAAACACAGACTAGATAATGGTCAGATAAGAAAAGTTTAGTCTGCAGAAGTAATGGGATATAGCAAAGGTCTAAGAAGGAAACTTTCCTAATTTAAGAGCTTCCATGGCGCAAGTGGTTAGAATGCAATATTGCAGGCTACTTTTGCTACCTGTAATTTGGCAGATAACATCTCATTAGGCTCAAAGTTGACCTATCCCTCCATCCTTCCAAGGTCAGTAAAATGAGGACCCTGACTGTTGGGGGCAATATGCTGACTCTGTAAACCACCTGGAGAGGGCTGCGCTGTGAAGCGGTATATAAGTCTAAGTGCTACTTCTAATTGCTATTATTGGACTTTTAAAGTTGCGGGGGAGGGAAAAATGTACTTTCAGAGTTGCAATTTTCTGTTAATGTAACCTTATAATAAAGTCAGAGTTAATAATTCTGGATGTTCCTCTTATCTGGACTACCTCATAAAGTTGACAATGTGCTTCTTTGACATATACTGGCATTGAGCACTGAAGTGACTTCAATGAATTCTGTTCTCTGTCCTAAACTGTTGCCATAGTATGCTTCATGCATCACTTGTAAAGCAAAGTAGAAAGTTTTTAAAAATTATGATAGGAACAATGCACTAAGAAACATTTATGGTACCAAACCTTATAAATGCAAAAGGTTGGAAAGGAAGTGAAAATCTGAGAATTAGGTGGTCTTATTTTAATACTGTTCCGTGTAAAACTATGGAAACACATGGATTTAAGAAATGCAAAAAAAAAATCGTTCCTGCCTGGTTTATTACTAAACTATCCATACGTATTTTAGTTCTAAAATTTGAGTTAGGGAAAAATTAAAATGGGTTTATAGTATGGAATTGTAACAATTATTAGTTTCCGAAGAATAGAATAAGCCTTCTATCATTTGTCTCAGCCCATTCAATAATTAAATAAAGTTAAAATTTCTTAAATGCAAAGAAGCCTGTTTTTGTGCATAACCAAGGGAAGGCACAAAATTTGCAGTTGCTGCTTATTGGAAGATATTTTACCTTTAGGAGAGCCTGCAGCCATGGAGATCTGAGCAGTTCATATAATACACCATCAATATCCTTCTTGTCAAAAAAGCTCATTTTGTGCTGGATCAAAGACAGAATGTGTCATAAACCTAGCCCCACTGTTGCATTCCTCCAAATACAGGTATTTATACAAATATCTTTTATTTTTTAGACAAAAGATAAATTAAAAATTATAGCATGACAGAAAATTCCTCATTCCCATAAAATTTATTTATAATAATTTATTATCTCATTTATTATTATTTGTTTGTATAATTTATGATTTGATTCGAAGATATATGTATCCTATATGCGTATGTGAAGCCTGCCATTTTTTCAGGTCAAAACCAGAATTGGGAGACTACAATATCTTGTAAATCCCTTTCCCCCGCCTTAGTTTTATATTTCTTTACAAGCCTAGCCACAATTAAAACAGACATAACGGTGTGATAAGCAGCTGGCTTCCCAGCTATGTAAATTGCCACTTTATTCTACTATCCTACATGGTGCAGGTGGCAGTTGTGCTCCAGTTGCACCCATTGCTGAATTGGAAGGCTCTGCTCTCAGGCATTCCAACTTGGTCACCTCCTGAATGGACTGCTGTAATGTGGTCTTTATGGGGCTGCCCCTGAAGAGTATTCAAAGGTTTCAACTGGTGCTAAATGCTGCAGTGAATACAGTTATGCATGCCCATAGAGTAACACAGCTCTAATTTGTAACCTGCATTGGCTGCCAGTTTGCTTCTGGGTCCAATCTGAGGTGCAGATTTTGTCCTTTATAGTACTACATAGCCTGGGACCAGGTGATTTGTGGAACTGCCTCTTCCCAATTACCTCTACCCATCCCAACAAATCTGGCAGGAGTGAAGTAGGTTATGGGTCATGATTCTTAAGGGTTCCATCTGATTCCATCACTTTTTGCTGTGACTCCTGCCCTCTGGTCTATCATCCCCACTCCCTGAGGAGAGATTAATCCCATCCCTACCAGCCTTCTGAAAAGCCTTAAAACATGGTTTTTCCAGCAGACCTGGCATTCTTTAGAGACAGGGAGGTTGCAAAATGCCTTTTAAACACTCTTCTGTGGTCTTGTTACATGCATGGTTTTTTATGTGTTTTATTCTTTTGTTTTTACTATATACCACCCAGAGTCACATTCTTGAAAAAGATAGCTATATGAATTTGATAGCTGTCCAGCTACATACATCTGAATAGGGGAAAAAATAGCTGCTGTTATAATGATTTCTCTCTTTGTTTTTAAAAAGAGGCATTTATGTTAAAAAAATCAAATAAATGAGTGGAATGTACCTTTTTCCTTGCTGTGCAAGGCTGCAACTCTGTGCATCTCATTCATTCTTGGAAATTCTGCTGGTTTCTCTGGATGGATCATCTGCTATATAATTATTAGAAGCCTAATTAGAAAGAAAAGATCGCACAGTTAGAAGTATCCATGAGGGATCCCCAAAAGTCAAAATGACTACCATGACTTTGTGATCCAAAGTCTTTTTACACATACCTAAGCATATACAAAAAGGCAAGGAGGTTTGACCACACAGCTGTCATCTTGCCTTTTTTGGCTTCTCTGTTGACTTCCCTGGCTGAACAATTTAGTTGCATACACAAGGGGAACTAAGCATATCAGCAGTATTTCCTAGAGCTCAAAATCAGAGCAGCCTTTTGGTCTGCTTAGCTCAAAGATAAAAGTAGATGTATTTTTTTCTTGGCAAGATGAAGGCTCTTTTCTATAATACTGTATGTATGATATAAAAGGGAAAATATTTTAGATTATTAGATAGCCTTTAGTTCTCTTCTGATTATAATTAGTAAACATTTAATTTAATGTTCTCAAACTGTAATTTGAAGAGAACTAAAGAAAAGAACCTAAAATAATTCTTAATCTTTTATATTTAAGTATTTAATAATTTAATTTAATATTTTAACTGAAGTTCAGTATATAGCTATGCATATGCAACTTTTCATAGAGATCTCTTTATATTTAATAACCTGATTAAAAATGGTTGTTATGCCTTTCTACGTTAGACAATTTTGCATTTAATAAGAGTTCTTAAAAATCTTAAAGTGAGTTCACCTGAAATCTGATTTCTCTTGTGTTATACTTGTATTAACCTTAATCTTGCATGCCTTTGCCATAAGAAGAAAGCTTTCTCTTTTTAATTATGCCAGAAAGTGGCAGATGTATCAATCAAATGGACAATTGTGTCAATTTACAATAGTGAAGTTTCATATATTATGCTATAGAAGCATAATTTTCAAAGCAAAATTACCACAAAATTACAAATCAAAAATTATGACAGGTAATATCAAAAGAAAGCTTTGCATTTTCAAAAGGAAAAAAGCTGATGTTTTCATGACTTAAACACAATCTCTGCCTTCTGGAATTTTCTGCAAGCATAGAAACCAACAGCTGAGCAATTACATTAAAAAAGAAAATAGGATTTCCTGTTTTAGTCACATAAAGCTTACATTTTCTAGATATTTAGAAAAAAAATTCTGCACCTCAACATTTCTGAATCAGATGTGTATATATGAGTCCATGTTTGTGTATTATTTGAAAATAAAGAGCAGCAAACAAAAGGCTACATCAATATTACTTCAAAAGGTATGACGCAATGTTTTATTGCACATAGAAAATCTCAGCCACATATTTTTTCTATTTTCTTTTCTTTTTCTTTAAATTCCAGATATTTCTTTTGAATATCTCTGTGCTATATATGTAAAATCTCCCTATTTAAATATTAAATATGGAAGGTTGTAAAAAACATTTGAGATTCAGTTTGTAAATCCTACAAATCAAAACTCATACAGAACAAAATAAAAAACTCTGATGGGATTCTTCATTCATCAAATAATAGTACCAAAACTAATTTTTGTGTGTGTGTAGGAATTATAGTCTCTGGAGAAAAGTTTAGCTGATTTCTTGGTGCTCAGTTTGCTAAAATGGGTTTGTTTCTAGATAGAATCTGCTAGCAATTAAATAAGCCTCTGGTCTAAAATCCTTTCATCCAACAAAACAAAAAACTGTTGCTGCATAAATTAATTGTGATGTAAACAAGATACCATTCTAATTAATCAGCCAACAGTAGGAAAGATATTCAACTGTGCTAGAAAACCCCAGAAAATAGTACCCAATCAGCAAAAATAATGCCAACCTGGAATAAAATACGCTGTCCCATGTCTTCAGTTTTTTCAATTCAAGGTAGCAGCCCTTTTCCCTGGACTGTTCTGTTGATGGAAAACTTTAAGAGTAGAGCAGGATATATATTAATCTTCTTACAAGAAAGGAAGTATGATCATTTTTACTGTCCCTTTTTGAAACTTTTAGAACATTCTTCCTTTTTTTCCTTGTTGAATTGGATGCTACCACAGAAAAGGTAGCTGAGAAAAATAGAGTGGAGGAAATGCACTAAGAGTGCCTGATTAAGACTAGCTGTACAGTATCTAAGAGCTAATACCATAAGATGACAAATCACTACCGAAAGAAGATCAGTGAAGGGGACCATCTGACAGAGACACACTAGCAATTTGAATGCTTGAAGCTGAAAGGAAGCGCAAGGATTTAAGTATACAGGTGAAACTCGAAAAATTAGAATATCATGCAAAAGTTCATTTATTTCAGTAATGCAACTTAAAAGGTGAACCTAATATATGAGATAGACTCATTACATGCAAAGCAAGGTAATTCAAGCCGTGATTTATCATAATTGAGATGATTATGGCTTACAGCTCATGAAAACCCCAAATCCACAATCTCAGAAAATTAGAATATTGTGAAAAGGTTCTAGGCTCAAAGTGTCCCACTCTAATCAGCTAATGAAGCTATAATACCTGCAAAGGGTTCCTGAGCCTTTAAGTGGTCTGTCAATCAGGTTCAGTAGGAATCACAATCATGGGAAAGACTGCTGACCTGACAGTTGTGCAGAAAACCATCATTGACACCCTCCATAAGGAGGGAAAGCCTCAAAAGGTAATTGCAAAAGAAGTTGGATGTTCCCAAAGTGCTCTATCAAAGCACATTAATAGAAAGTTATGTGGAAAGGAAAAGTGTGGAAGAAAAAGGTGCACAAGCAGCAGGGATGACCGCAGCCTGGAGCGGATTGTCAGGAAAAGGCCATTCAAAAGTGTTGGGGACTTTCACAAGGAGTGGACTGAGGCTGGAGTCAGTGCATCAAGAGCCACCACACACAGACGGATTCTGGATATGGGCTTCAAATGTCATATTCCTCTTGTCAAGCTGCTCCTGAACAACAAGCAACTTCAGAATCGTCTTACCTGGGCTAAAGAAAAACAGAACTGGTCTGTTGCTCAGTGGTCCAAAGTCCTCTTTTCTGATGAGAGCAACTTTTGCATCTCATTTGGAAACCAAGGACCCAGAGTCTGGAGGAAGAATGGAGAGGCACACACTGCAAGATGCTTGAAGTCCAGTGTGAAGTTTCTACGGTCTGTGTTGATTTGGGGAGCCATGTCATCTGCTGGTATTGGTCCACTGTGCTTCATTAAGTTCAGGGTCAATGCAGCCATCTACCAGGAGATTTTGGAGCACTTCATGCTTCCTTCTGCAGACGAGCTTTATGGGGATGCTGACTTCATTTTCCAGGACTTGGCACCTGCCCACACTGCCAAAAACACCAAAACCTGGTTCAATGACTGTGGGATTACTGTGCTTGATTGGCCAGCAAACTTGCCTGACCTGAACCCCATAGAGAATCTATGGGGCATTGCCAAGAGAAAGATGAGAGAAATGAGACCGAACAATGCAGAAGAGCTGAAGGCCACTATTGAAGCATCCTGGACTTCCATAACACCTCAGCAGTGCCACAGGCTGATAGCTTCCATGCCACGCCGCATTGAGGAAGTAATTGCTGCAAAAGGGGCCCAAACCAAGTACTGAGTACATATGCATGCTGATACTTTTCAGAGGTCCAATATTGTTCTATGTACAATCCTTGTTTTATTGATTGCATGTAATATTCTAATTTTCTGAGATTGTGGATTTGGGGTTTCCATGAGCTGTAAGCCATAATCATCTCAATTATGACAAATCACGGCTTGAACTATCTTGCTTTGCATGTAATGAGT